AGTTTCTTTTATTTTCATTTCCATTTATTACTGCTTAATACCTCTAACCAAACATCCCTTAAATCTCGTTACAGATTATAAATCATCGTATTTTCAAAATCTATTGCAATTTTGTGATCTTGAGCGAAGAACCTGCAAAATGTTGGTGTGTTTGAATGATATCTAAAAGAGAAATTAACAAAAGTAGCAAATTTTCACCGATCAAATTTACTTCTCAATCATTTTTCTCTTACTTTTTTTAAGAAAATCAATACCTACGTAAATGCCAAAGATACAACTTACGGAGGGGGCATTTTTCTAAAGAACCTCAAGCTATAGGTTGCAGAGGGGCTATAGTTGCGGAGATGCCCCCATGGAGATTTTGGTTTACACTTGTGGAGGTGCTATCCTTTAGGGATGAACCCAAGAATTTTTGGATAAGATGACACCATATAAAACGGTTGCACCTTCTAGAATAAAACAGTTGTACCTTTCACGAATCTAATTTTTTTTACCTTACCACGGAGAAACAATACGGTGGCACGTGCCACCTAACCACCCCTCTAGGTCCGTCTATGCCATGCTCAAGAGTAAATTATTGTTTTGGTGTATGTTTACAAGGACCAGAGTCCGTGCCTTCCGTACCACCGAAAGGTCGTTCTTGGGCGGATCCTGCTCCTAAACATAAGGGATAGGGGTCCTGGGGCCATGTGGCCCCCTTCGAGTATGAAAAACGAAAATTTCTTTTTAAAATACTCTTCAGCAAGTTGCGGTTAGAACACTTGTGGAGGTATTGATAAAATGGTAAAACTGAAAGAGAAATTGCTAATCCATCAATATGTATATTTTAATGCATTTTTGTCACAATATCTTACTTGTGATATTTACTACACGCTTACTTGGTAAGTATTTAACGCATAAATTTCCTAATTTGATGAACATGAAAAGGGCCAAGAATCTTACCGGGTAAGAGCGATGAAAAGAATGAAGAGTATTATCCGGTAAGTGAGGATGACGACTCTTACCCAGATAATTGTTTATCCAGTAAATTGTTGTATTCGATATGTTTTGATATACTAAAATCTTACACATCAAAATAAATTATATTGTTGACTTTTATTAGTAAATGCTTACCGGGTAAGCATTTAAGTAAACGGTCTCTTACTTGTGACAATTCTCTTTAAATAATGAGTATATCAGAGTTTTTGGTTACTGGGTCTAAATAATAATTTTTTATTTACAGGGGACTAAAATGTTAATGGTGATAAGTAAAGGGTGTATATTATAAATTGTTCTCTTTGTTAGCAACTACTCTGTATGCATGACGATTCAACTAGCTTAAGAAGTTGACACGTGTTAACTCAAAGACAAATATGTTCTACAGATGTCAAAAGGGAATTATCACACGTGGCTGAAGAAATCCATCGTCTGCTTAATTAGAAAGCCAAATCATTTTCCCTTCCCTGTGACAAACTAAGCCGTTGGATTCATGTATGTGTTTGTTTACAGATGCCGTTAACTTGAAATGGATCGGAATGAAAGTAACTATACTGATTACAGCTCATTTATCAAATACTTATCAGATAACTGTTTAACGTACGTTATTTTCTGGATTAATATAGCAAAAATCTATAATTTTATCTGATAAGAGACATAAAAAGAACCAAGAATCTTATCTGGTAAGTGACGAAAAAGATTCTTACCCATTTAGCATATATTGGTAAAATACGCTTAACAACAATCCATTTTAATGATCGATAATGTTACTCGATAAGGTAAATAATGATGCATGATGATCTTGTTGGTAAGTGTTTATCCAGTAAGTGACTTTATAAGCTAATGATCTAACGGTTTAAAGTTGTACGGTGACAATTTTGTGATTGTTGAGAAGTCTCGTGGCATTTATGAATGTTTAGATTGTCAGATTGCAGATCTAATCTAAGGGTTGAGAATTGGTCTTACGGGTCTCACGAAAAACTCTTGGTCTCACATGAACCCAACCCTATATGTATATATATAACTTGTTAAAATGCTAAAAAAACGTTCTATAAACTTATTTTGTCCAATAAAAATAAGTTCTATAAAATCAGTTATTATGACATTTACACGTTTTTGACGACATATAAACCCAATTATATCGTAATGCATGTGTCGACAGCCAAAAGTAACCTTACTTTTTTAGCTTACTGAAAATATTTTCTTTAGTAAAGGTCTGTTTGTTATCAGTTTAATGAGTTTAATGAAACTCGCAACTTATTCAATCAGCTATGCACACATGATTGTTTGGTAATAACTTAATGATATAGATAAGAGATTATTCAATAAGCTTCTACAGGAAGATTATGTAGAAAATGCAAAGTTTTTTTCAAACATTTCATTCCAATTAAAAAACACGATCCTTATATCTATACAAAAATTGTCCCAAACAAAACCCTTATCAATCTATCTAGACAGACTAATCCATACATATAGTTTTATTCATATTAGACTTAATAGAAACCAATAAAACAGCCTCTAAATTATTAACTAGCTTAAGAGATAGTTTTAAAAAGGAAAAAATCACCAAAATGACCAAAAATATACCTGAGATATTAACGAAATAACCAAGTTTTACCAAAATTACGAAAATATCCACACGGATCGCCTCCGGGGGGGCGAGGGTTGACCATTGGGGGCGATCCTTCTTCTTTGACCAAAAAAGTACAAAAAAATATTAAAATCAATTTGGTGGGTCCCACATGCATCCCTTTTAGAAAACCAAACATTATTTTTCTCGATTTTGGTGAATCTACCCAAGGGACGATCCACATCACGTCATATAAATTTTACAAAAAATTCAAGATTTTTAATTATGTCTATTTAATTTATTTTGCATATTTGATCACACATCCCATTCTTTTAATTTTATTTTATATCAATTAACTTTTATCAAACGTAAATAATTTACCAGTTAATAATTATGTAATTAATTAATAACTTACTTATAAATTAACAGCTAACTTATCAAATAATTTATCTGATATATACACATCTCTTCCAATTGCTTTGGCATTGCACTTGCAAATATTTGTTCATCATGATAATTATTTATAAACAAATGATTTAATACTCATATTTATATTTAGATTTATAAATAGAAGTTTTAAATTTGATTTAAAACCAAAACAATTTTCACATGACCAAATTAAAGAATAAATATTGAAGAAAAGGGTAAATAAGTTTTTTAAAATTAAATAAAAATAAAAATAAAAATAAAAATATAGAAGATATTCCAATATGAAAAGGGTGAAGTCACATATACACTTTTTCAGTTTGTCTTACCAAGCAAGGACCATCAATGGTGGCAAAATTAAATGACCAATTAACCCTTGCACAATTTCTTTTTCTAATTTATTTGGAAAAACATTACCATTGAATCACTATAAAATAAGAGTACCAACGGCGGAAAAATCCCTTGCAAATTTGTTGCTAAAGGTCTCATCCGTCGTTGATCGTTCGTTGGTCAAAAGCTCGTAGGTAATGCTACGGATCAACGACGGAAACTTTCAATAACTGAGCAGCGACGGAAACTTTCAGTGACTGAAACTTTCAGCGATGGATTAGCGAGAGAATTTTTCAGCTATGGATGAGCAGAGAAACTTTCAACAACGGATTAGCGATGGATCTTTTCGGCGACGGATTAACGAGGGAAATTTTCAGCGAGGAAACCTTTCAGCGACGGATTAGCGAGAGACTTTTAATGAGGGATCCGCGAGGGAAGTAGTTTTTGGACCATACCTCGCAGATCCCTTGCAAACAGCGACAAATTGACCAAAAATTAGTTCTCTCACAGATCCGTTGCTGATCAGCGAGGGAACTGGTTTTTGGTCAATCCGTCGCTGATCTACGACAGGTTTTTTTCCGTCGTCGATACTTTGTTTTCTAGTAGTGAATGTTATCTTTAATGATATATATATATATATATATATATATATATATATATATATATATATATAGAGAGAGAGAGAGAGAGAGAAAACTAAAATTTTGATTTATGTTTAACACTTTTTATCCCTTTGGTTTCATTTTTAATAGCTATCGTCGCTTATAAAAACGTTCATATTTAATTATTTCCTCTAACCATCATAAAAGTTTGTTATATATTTGTTCACAATGTGTATATTTAATATGTATTCGATTCATAATGTGAATATTTTTTCCGTGTTTGTGAAATAAAAAATACACGTAAATTTTTTTACATTGTGAACCGAATACATTTGAAACAAATATATATTATAACCAATATATTAAATATTGGATTTAGACGGGAAAAAAACATGTTAACAAAACCTTAAAATGAAAGTTTTTACGGATCTTTCAAATTTTAGAGTTATTAAATGATTAAACATATATATATATATATATATATATATATATATAGGAGCGATCAAATGCAAAACACTTATATTTGTACAAACTGTGCAAACCATCCTTATCGGTCAATTTTATTGTTTAATTTAATGATTTTGTTTCATGAAATTGTTTCATATAATATTTTTTAAATAAAGTTGTTTCATATATGATTATGAAATTGTTTCATATAATACTTATGAAATTTTAATGAAATTGTTTCATATAATACTTATGAAATTTTAATGAAATTGTTTCATGTATTTTTTTAAAATTAATCTAATTATGATGATAATATCCATAATTAATATCACTCACAGTAAAAATGATTAATCAACCTTTTATAATTAAAAAAATAAAACATTATAATTAATTAAATAAGATTTATATAGTTTATATAAATAACATCGTAACTCTACGTGTGTGTGTGTGTGTATATATATATATATATATATTCACAAATTTTCATGCGTTTATTTTATTATTATTTATAAAACAATTTATTACAACATAATTTATTTTCACACTTATCCAAAAATTATCACGACCCCATCCCTCCCACCACCCCCACCCCAACCCCTGAAAATGGTTATAAATTGAAGGACTTTGGAAGACATCCATTTCATTGAGCTTCTTGGTACTTGTATAGCATTCGTATATTCAATACATACATACATACAGTTCTACTCATGGCTGCATCTTTCTCCGTTCCTTCAATGGTATCTTACTTCATTCAATTCTCTCTTTACATTCAATATATATACACATATATACGTATATGTTTCATGATTTCTTGATAAGTTTTATATGTATGGAGTTGATTTCACCAAAAGGGTAGTTTGGAATTCCATCACTGACAAAATTTTGAATTAAAATGAACAGATTTTGGAAGAAGAAGGAAAATTTCAAGCAGAAGTAGCAGAGGTGCAAGCATGGTGGAACTCTGAGAGGTTCAGACACACGCGCCGCCCGTACTCCGCCCGTGACGTGGTGTCTCTACGTGGCAACCTCCGTCAATCCTACGGCTCCAATGAGCTAGCCAAGAAGCTATGGCGCACTCTCAAAGCTCATCAAACCAACGGCACGTCTTCTCGGACTTTTGGTGCACTCGATCCAGTTCAAGTCACCATGATGGCTAAGCATCTAGACACCATCTACGTCTCCGGCTGGCAATGCTCCTCCACCCATACGTCGACTAACGAGCCGGGTCCTGATCTAGCTGACTACCCATACGACACCGTTCCGAATAAAGTTGAACACTTGTTCTTTGCTCAACAGTACCATGATCGGAAACAAAGGGAGGCTCGTATGAGCATGAGCCAAGAAGAGCGAGCTCGAACTCCTTATGTTGATTACTTGAAACCCATCATAGCCGATGGTGACACCGGCTTCGGTGGCGCCACCGCCACTGTAAAGCTTTGTAAGCTCTTTGTGGAACGTGGTGCTGCCGGAGTTCATATTGAGGACCAGTCGTCGGTAACCAAGAAATGCGGTCACATGGCCGGAAAAGTTTTGGTGGCCGTTAGTGAGCATATCAACCGGCTCGTCGCGGCTCGGCTTCAGTTTGATATAATGGGAACCGAGACGGTGTTGGTGGCTCGTACAGACGCCGTCGGCGCGACTTTGATTCAATCCAACATCGATACCAGAGACCATCAGTTCATTCTTGGCGCGACTAACCCTAATCTCAAAGGCAAAGGGTTAGCCACACTTCTATCTGAAGCCATGGCTGCCGGAAAAGCCGGGCCGGAGCTTCAAGCTCTTGAAGACAACTGGCTTTCAATGGCGCGGCTGAAGACGTTTTCCGACGCGGTGGTTGATGCAATCGGAGCAATGAACATCCCGGAAACCGAAAGGAGACGAAAACTAAATGAATGGATGAATTCATCGAGCTACGAAAAGTGTTTATCAAACGAAGATGGAAGAGAGATCGTCGCGAGATTAGGCCTTACAAACTTCTTTTGGGATTGGGACTTGCCGAGAACCCGAGAAGGGTTCTACCGGTTCAAAGGCTCGGTCGAAGCTGCTATAGTCCGTGGCTGGGCTTTCGCGAACCACGCAGACGTGATCTGGATGGAGACCGCGAGCCCAGACATGGTCGAGTGCACTAAATTCGCACACGGTGTCAAGACCATGCAACCGGAGACTATGTTGGCTTACAATCTCTCACCATCGTTCAACTGGGATGCATCGGGAATGACCGATGTCCAAATGATGGATTTTATTCCGAGAATAGCGAAACTCGGGTATGTTTGGCAGTTCATAACGCTCGCAGGATTCCATGCCGACGCTTTGATCGTCGACACGTTTGCGAAAGATTTCGCGACGAGAGGGATGTTGGCTTATGTGGAGAGGATTCAGAGGGAGGAAAGGAACAATGGGGTGGACACATTGGCTCACCAAAAATGGTCCGGTGCTAATTACTATGATCGGGTGCTAAGGACGGTTCAGGGCGGCATCACATCGACCGCGGCTATGGGCAAAGGTAAACCCGTTTTTCACCCTATTAGATTAAGTTTTAGCGACGACAGAACCGTCACTAATAATCTGAGGCCACTTTTTGACAAGCTTATTTATATGGTGACAAACTGAAGTTCTATAAAAAGTGTTTGGATTAGCTTATGGCGGTACCACACCGGATAAGCTGATAAAATAGATAGAGATACCCTTTTCTTTTCTCTTCTCATCCAAACACTAAAACTCCTTATCCCCGGTACCACATTGGAATAAGTTAATAAGTTAGAAAGAAGTAACTCATTAAAACTTCTTATTACCGGTGTCAAACCGGTATAAGCATTTTCTTTTTTTCTCCGTCCAAACACTAAAAACTCCTTATTAGCGGTACCACACTGAAATAAGTTAATAAACACTTTAAATAAGCAATCTCAAACACCCCCTAAACCAGTTTTTTGAACTTATTGAACAAACCACTTGGTGAAAAATCCATAACGTATTATCACCGACTGTGTTGACGTTATTTGCAGGAGTGACCGAGGAACAGTTCAAGGAGACGTGGACAAGATCGGGGACGACCGATATGGGAGACGGTAGCGTTATGATTGCTAAATCAAGAATGTAGAACCACCATCGACATCGACGATCGGAGGATCGACATCGACGATCGGAGCATCGGGAAGCGTGATATTTTTACTTAATTTTATTTTGGGTTGTTTGAAGCAGAAATAATGTTGTAGTCCATATGCATTATGGATCATTTTTCAGTGTGGTGTTTGAAAACAAATGTCGTCTTGTTTTTGTTTTATGTTTCATTTTCATATCAAATTAAAGTGTTCACTATTTTTGTTTTCACTCTCAACAACTTCTTATTTTTTCTTTAGGTTTGGTTTATAAATTAAAAATACATATTCAACTTATTATAACTTAGAAGGGTTTAACTTCTTCAAAAACTCTTTATTACCGGTTTGACACCGGTATAAGTTGTTTATCCAAACACTCAAAAGTGTTTATTACCGGTGCTACACCGAAATAAGTCAATAAGTTGTTTTTATAAGCAATCCCAAACACCAATTACATTTTTTTTCTTAAGGTTCAAGATTCTATCGATTTCGAAAGGGCATTTGGCTTAGTGGTATGTGAGTCTTTGGCTTTCTGGGAGGTCAAGGGTTCAAACATCAACAAATGTGAGGAGGGTGCGTGAGTTTATTTGTTCTATTTACCGTATTTAAATATTATATACTTTAAAAAATAGATTCTATCGATTTCAATATATAGAAGCATCATTCATTCGATAAGCTTTAAGGGTGCGTTTGGTTTAATGGAATTTTAAGGGATTTGGATTCCGTGAAAGGATTTGGATTTGTAAGGATATGTTTGGTTTGTGGGATTTGGGATGGAATTGAATTCTATTTTTTGTAAATGATTTATAAAAACAAATTATAAATAATTAAATTACTTTTTGTTGATTACTTATTATAAAGCATATGTTTTTAATATATTTTAAAACATTATTACGTACAAATATTACGAAATCTTCCGAAATACCAACTACCCGTATGGGATTTTAAAATCTTATGTTTGTGGGATTTTACGGGATTTTAAATCAAGCAAATCCATCATACCAAACATGGGATTGAAATAGAATTCATGAATTCCAAATCCCTCGAAATTCAATCCATTCCATCAAACCAAATGGGACCTAACTCCTAAGGGTCCGTTTGGTGCGCAGGAATGGAATGAAATTACGAGATTTGGATTTCAAATTCATTCCAATCCCTTGTTTGGTATGCAAGATTGTCTATAAGAATAACAATAGCATATGACTTATTAGTTAGTTTTTATTTATTCAGCTAACAACGAGCTTATCAGCTACTTTCTCAAACATAGCCGAAAGAAAAACTCAAATACTATTGAATTACGTTGAATGATTTATTTAAATATGTAAAATGAATAAGTTATTCATTATAAAAAAGCATCTGGTTATCGGTTTCTTTTTAGGCATTTTCACCAAGGCTATGGACGACGAGTTAGTTCTTCTTCCATGGTTTACGGATGGAGAGAATGATGATGATGGCGATAACAAGAAGCAACACGATGCCGATAGTCATGCATTTTCTTGATCTCTTTTGTAAGCTTTTGGCTGTCGTTAGAGCATCGGCACCCATGTTTACGTGATCCACTGCATTTGCGACCTGCAAGAAACAACAAAGCTCAAAACAAACTGTACTGGTGTCTTAGGGGTTGTTTATTTACCTCTTAATAGTTCCATTAAAAGACAACCTCTGAACCATTGAGAGGTGAATCTTGTTTGACGAAAAAAAGTCTGCCTCTTACTGGTTCTAAAAACTTCTAAATAATTTTGTATCTTCAGTCCCCCTTAACCATTTAGCGCCCTAATTTCATTGTAAACAATTACTAAACAATTATATTTCATTTTACAGTATATAATGAGAGTCTCTTAATCGTTTTGACCACTTAATCATTCTACATCAAATCATTCAACAACTGTCAAACATCATCTTACAATCCAAAATCAGCTAGACACAAACCATTAAACATGTATATACATAAGAACCTAAAAGCCAACGAATTCATTAATTATTCATTATGAATAATTCTAAAATATTCATAATTATATTATGAATCATAAATATGATTTAGTTTATTATTAATGATATTTAATAAAATTCTTAAATTTTCAAAACATTTATGCTTATTATTTAAGAATATCATTACCAAATAATGTTTTAAATAAGGGTCCATCATTAATCTACCTTTTTTTTATTAATCACTTTATTGTTTTTACCTCTAATTAAAAATAAAAATAAAAACCAAAATATCCCTTTTTTTTTAGAGAGATGCCTCTTTAAATACCTTGTATTTTGATGAGGTCTTCACAGTTAAAGATGGTGATTTGTCCCGACCCGGTGAGTAACTCAGTTCACCGGATCCGAACGGGGATGGAGACTCCTCGCTAAAATGGGTCCCAAGAATCCCCGGTAGACTCAAACCGGAGTTGGGGCCAGGGCCGAGTATTGTACCCCCGACCCACCCCATAAAACCGGTATATAATTTTATTAATATATTTTATAATATATATATATATTATTTAATTTCTAAAATTAGGTATTGATCGGAGATGATGATCAGGGTTTGACAGAAAAATAAACCGGGGATGAGATGTTAATCCCTGTACCCACCGAGGACTGGGGTCGGGGTTGAGGCCGGGGGCTGTTACTAAAAGCTGGGGTCGGGGATTACTAAACCCGCCCCATCCCCGTCCCGTTGCCATGCCTAAAGAGGTACCTCTTTAGAAAACCGGGTAGTTAGTTTTTTTGTTTTAATTAGAGATAAAAACGTTAAAATAATTAGTGAAAATGTGTAGATTAATGATCGACCTTTAAATAACGACGATAAATTTATGTTTTAAAACCCGTTCAAACGGGCCAAGTTCAAACAGGCCAGGCTTTAAGCAATGAGTGACAATACAGATACCCAAATAACTTTCCGAAGTAAGATAACACAAATTTTTTTACTTCATTTTATTTTTAGTAAAAAGTTGATTACCCGTAACCTTAATCAGTCCCATACGGGACCATATCCTACAAGACCAACGTGAAAAACACTTTTCAGCTCACTCAACGACTGAAGTTTGGGATCGAACCACAAAATTGATTACTCGTAACCTTAATCAGTCCCATAGAGTTTTATTGTTTTAAAGTTAATTAAAAATACTCAATTTCTAGTCTTTTTTTAATATTATACAAAATAAAATAAAAATCCAATTTAAAATTAGAAAATTTAAATAATTTTGCACAAATGGAAGTATTCATGCGAACCTATCAAATACCCAATTTTATCTATGACTCTATATTAATATTTAAATACATAAAAATGTAATTGAGAAATATTAAATTCGTAATAAATTCCTCGTAATCTTAATAATAAATAAATACACTTTCTTTATAGATAAAAATAATATCATAGAAAAATAATCAAAAGAAATGTTAAAAATCTATGAAAACGATCTAAAAATATTTTTTAGAAACTATAAAACAAAAAAACACGTTGGAAACTTTCAGATTATGAAACAAATATACATGCACAACTAAGGATGGTGATTTGCTCGGGCCGGTGGGGAACCCCGCCAACCCGAATAGAGACGGGGATTCCCCGTTAAAATGGGTCCCGAGGCCAGGGATCCCCGGTAGACTCAAACTAACAGATATTTTTCATGGGGTTTGACCGAGGTTTGACAGGGGTTTGACCGGGGACAGGATGTTAATCCCTGTACCCGCTGGGACCGAGGCTGGGGATTACCATCTCCACCCCATCCCCGTCCCGTTGCCATGTTGCCATGTCTATGCACAACAATACCTTAAATAGTAACTTTTGATGAAAAAACAAAAATAATAAAAATAATTTTAATCACAAGGATGGTGTCTGATTGGTTTGAGCTCCAAATGTCAAAAGTATCTAGAGGTCCCAAGTTCAAATCCAAAGAGGGTCCTTGTGACCACGGAGAAACAAATGCGATGACTCCAAGCTACCCACAAAACAAATGATCACTCTGAGATTAATCGACTCATATTGCAGGTTAGATATCCATATTAATAAAAAAAATGGTTTTAAATCAATTCTCACATATTTGTGTTTCTAACAAGATTAATCCTCATAATATAATATTTTACATCACATATAATTCAAGAAAAAACTATAACAAACAATCAAATATCTAAAAATATACATGAAATCCACCCCATAAAGTATATAAAATAAAAGATAATAAAAATTATAAATTTAAAAAAAAAACCTATAAATTCGGACGTATTTGATGGAAAAACAACTAAACAGCCCCTAAGCTCCCTTGCCACTTTTCCATGGCTGAATAACAGAAACTACAACGATCGCTATTATAACTAATAACAATATAATCGCGATACACATACATTTCCGACTCTTCTTCTGTAGTTTCTTTGCGGTATGGAGTGCAGTCGTTCCTGATTGGACATGATCGACTGCATTCGTTACCTGTATCAACGCTTTCCGTCAACACAATCCCCCCTTTAAATCCCAAACAACGTACAACTTATAATGCACAACGTACAAGTCACCATAGCACTATTCGTAATTTGGTAACCAGACAGATTTACCGATCTTTTTTCATCTCCTATTTTTGTTTCACCTATTTTGACGGGACAAAGAAATATACATTTTTGTCCCGATCAGTTCTGTCTAGTCCTGGTCTAATGGTGTGTTAGATGTAAGTTTTATATACATTATTGCTTCGGATTGACCGATTAGTGATGCTCCGAGAAATACTTTCCATAAATAGAAGGCATACCTGGCTTTCGATATTGTCCAATAGGTCTCCTTGAGCCTCTACAAGAACCGCCATATCGAGGTATATCTGATAACGTCAACGAGTCGTTTATGTAACGGAAATAAGCAAATGTCGTGTTTGGAAATCCAAAACCGGAATTCGGGTCAAATAAATACCTGATGTAGGTCAAGAAGTTTCTTTTCAATTTCTTTCACGGCATCGTGTCTTTCTTGAATTTCTTCCAGCGTATTTAGTACCTTCGATAGAAAACGGTTCAAAAAAAAAAAAAACGAATGTAGTTGAACACGGAATTTTATCTCTACATCTGATGTGACTTTTTTAGTCACATCAGATACAGATGTAGGCCATGCTTGGCAGTAATAACTAATCTTTAGTTAGCCATTTGAAATAGCGTTTCAATAAGCTCTAGGGGTGCAAACCAGTTTAGATCGGTTCATTTCTCGATTTCATTACTTTAGATTTTTTGGTTCCGGTTCTGGTTCTAGTTCTGGTTTCGGTTCAAACCCGATGAACCACTCTAACTTAGCCATGGACAACGGGAGTACCTGTCCTCGCCCCATTTCTTTCATTGCGTTCTGGAAAATCTGTTCGCTATTTCCGGTTTCTATGAGGTTGTTGATCGTCTGTAGCACAAAACTCGATCCATGAATCCAACATCGGAAAAACACGATAGTTTACGCAAAAACAGAATTCGGGCTCACCTCTTCATCTGGTCGTGTTCCTGTGACTGCTCGATATCGAAATCAAACAACCAAAAATTCACAGCAAAACCATTTGGTCAGTCGATATAACAATCGAGTAAGGTTCAAACATAGCAACTCGTTCGACACTTAAAAGTCAAACGTTTGACTCATCAAAACCGAACCTGTGATGACCCTTCTTTCCACGACCTCACGGTATTCATCATCGATCTTTTGCCTCAAAGTCTGAAAGTGGATGAAGCATACAATAATGAGAAAACCAGCAAATAAACCAAAACAAACGAGCTCAGTATATCCCATTCTGGTGGTGGGATGTACACAGATCAATCTCTACCCCAAAGAGTAGAGCAGATGTTTTCATGAATACCCACGTCGAATAATTAACCCGAAAAACGGAGTACATATAAAGATTTATAATACCTGAAATTCCGTCATTATGTCTCGGAACTTCTTCGTCAAAGCACTGGAAATTTAGAACAAACCCAACGGAGATTCAATTACCGGGCGGAAAAAAAATGACACAACGGTAACCACCGAGTCGACTCATGACCGTTGAGATGATTATGAAATTCCGAATCAAGAGCGTTCCCACAATGGTAAGCTTTTTATTCGAGTTTTTTTCGAAAAAGTGGGACCCACAAGCTTAGGTGGTCAGTTGCCGGGAGCTTTTTGCTTAGGTGGCCAAAAAGCTCTCCGAAAAGCTCCATTTTATATGCTTCTAATATATGAAAATCACCGAAAGATAGTTAAAACTTACGCCGTCATATTTGTCCTAGATCGATCGACCCCCGTCCCGGGCCCACAACCGGGTTTTTGTCGGTTTGCTAAGTTCTACGTGCATCGCTAAGTTAGACGATTAAAACGGATAGTAAACTTATTGCATAGAATAGAATAAACGATACAAAAAGAGTAATACCTCTTTATTGATTGCTTCTATCTTCGTTTTTACATTACGTGCGATCTTTCCCACTTCATCAACGTCTTTTTCCATCCGTTTCCTAATTGCTGAAACCAAGTAATCGTTCATGATCAAATGACTTCAAAATCAAAACCGTTACACGATTGTCAAAAACCGACCTTTCATAGAAGACGCTTTTGTGACGGATTTTGACTCCTCGTTAGAATCCTGAGAAACCAATTGCCAAGAAAAGTCTATACATAAAGGGTTCAGGGTTTAGAGTTTAAGGTTTATCCATTGTGAGCATATTTCATATACAAACCCAATATTCGTTACAAACCTTTCAAAACCAATCCATATCATTAAGAGACAACCTCTGAATCGTTAGAGGTGAATCTTGTTCGGCAAAAAAAAAGTCTGCCTCTTAATGGTTCTAAAACCCTCTAAATGATTTTGTATCTTGGATCTCCCTTAACCATTAAGAGCCCTAATTTCATTGTACACAATTACCAAACAATTATATTTCATTTTGCACTATATTATAAGAGCCTCTTAATCATTCTGACCACTTAATCATTCTGCACCAAACCATTCAACAATTGTCAAACAACCCCTAAATTTGATTTTAAGCTATGATTCATATTGTTTCACATGTCCTGTTCTCATGTATGTTTCACATGTGAAACAACACATGAAAAGCGGTTTGTAGGTTTGTAACAACTATTGGATTTGTATTCGATATGCCATCTATCCGTTATACGGCATTTACTTCACGGAGTTTATATTCACACAACGGTACAAACCTCTTTTGCTCAAACCACTTATGCTCGAGCTACAAATTGTAAATATGAAAGAATAACAAAGAAAACCGTATGTCGGTTAACGTCCTTCTATAACGCTTATATGCAACACCTATATACGGGCATTACTTGTTGTATATCCCACTCGGAGTAGGGTCTAATACGTATAATGTATGCATATACTATGCATATACTTTATCGTTGTTTCTGTGAAAACCCCCCGTTTTTGAAGACGGAAGTGAAACGAAATGCCGTTAATAGGGTACGGGAATGCATACCTTGAGTTTTTTCAATAACCCTGAAAGCTTATCCACCTGTTTCTCTATGTCTTGGATCTACATTTTGAAGAACAAAAGACAACTTATCATAACAAAGATAGAAGTAAACCAAGCCAAACGAACCCAGTATGGTGGGAGTTGTCGGTAGTCCACAACTTGCTTCTCGAGCTTTTGCTTAGAATCATAACTTCGAGTTCAACTTAAAACCATGGTGGGAGTTGTTGATAGTCCACAACTTGGAGTCTGTAAGGAGCTCACAAATCTGCTTTTCTATTCATGCGGGACGGGTTGTTACACTGGTCGATGTTTATTTTAAGTATACAATATTTATATACAGCAAAGCTCACATACACGTCATTGACCATTTTGGGCGAGGCTTGAACCCATGACCTCCAAGAAGGTTGGGATCTACCGGTAATTCAGGTGCCACCGCGCCATTGGGGGATGTCTATGTTATATGGCATAAACCGCAACTATTTCTTATTTCCGTCTAGGTTCTTTTACCAAATGGTGGATATTGACGGATTTAACGAACAATATACCTGCTTGTTAAACGATTCCATTCCCATGTCCGAGTTACTTCGTGGAAGTCGAGTGCTCATCTGAATATCCATATCTCTTGGAGGATGCTCTCTGGCATCACTCACGAACGAATCCTGAAATACAAATTTCACAAGAATATACACAAAAAAAAATGAAGTCGGAATTTGATTTATGTCCAACTTTTCGAGCTTAATCATGTCCAGATTGTGAAACGTAATCGATCAGAGTGTGAACAAAAATAACGACAACTTCTGCGTGGTGTTTCAAGACTACATTTTTTGAGCAAACTCCGTGTCGTATTTGGCCGTACGAAAAGAAATGAAGATTTGATATATGGACGGACAAAGGGCGAAGAATGGACAACCGCTCTGCTTCTTGGGGTAGTGGAACTACAACAAATTCGACTTCATAGGACGGCAAAGGGCGAAGAATGGACAACCGCTCTCCGAATAAACTTTTTATAGGACTTAAATTTACAGGACCAAACAATTGTGCGTATAAAGTACTATGTAAATGTGTTACAGTAAGTTGATATGATGTCGTGCATATTTATATATGATGCAACAATTGCTTAGTCATATAAACTTATGCCCCTTAAAACAGTCTATTAAGACATTTAGGGATATTTGGTGTCCCATAAAGCCGATTTTGTTGTGGTGAGGACAAGTCACTTCAATAAGTATGCTTCAATTCATATCTGATCAAGCAATTAAACCAAAATGGGAAGTCTGGAATTGAAATCCAAAATGGGGTTTAGAAATCCAATAGGTAGTTGGTATTTCACTGGATTTCATAGGATTTGTTTGGAATAATATTTTAAAATATGTTAAAAACACTTGTTTTTTGTATTAATCATTTAATAAAAAGATAATTAAATTATTTTTATAGATTTTATAAAAAAATTATAAATTATTTATGAATAACTGAATTCAATTTCATTCCAAATCCTACAAATCAAAAATACCAAAAAATCCAAATCATTCCACGAAATCAAAATCTCTCAAAAACATTCCGTCAAACCAAACGGGTCCTAATTGAATTTTGTTTGTGAAAATATTGAGGCGTTCGGTTTGACGAAATGATTTTGAAGGATTTGGATTTTGTTAAAAGGGTTTACAACGGGAAAGATTTAGAACCTTTGGTGTGTTTGGTTCGCACAACTTGAAATGGTTTTGAATTTTATTACTTATAAATAATTTATAAAAACAAATTATAAAAATAATTAAATTATTTTTTTATTAATTATTATTACAAATCAAATTGTTTTTAATATATTTAATAAAACATTACAAACAAATCATATAAAAGGGGTATTTGGGATTGCTTATAAAAATAACGTATTGACTTATTCCGGTGTGGTATTGGTAATAAGCACTTTTAAGTGTTTGGATAAACAACTTATACCGGTGTCAAATCAGTAATAAGGAATTTTTTGAAGTAGTTAAACACTTCTGACTTATAATAAGTTGATAAGTGATTTTATAGAAAAATATAAGTTGTTTCAAATAAGCAATCCAAAACACCCCAAAATCCCGTTAAATACCACCTACGCCATAGGATTTCTAAAACCCATGTTTGTTGGATTCCATTGAAATCCAAATATCTCAATTCCGGAATTTCTTTTAAACCAAACATGCGATTGAATTCCATTCCAACCCCAAATCCCGCAAAGCGCGAACGGTGTTAAAGAAATCTGTTAGCTGATTCATCTCATTGATAGAGTTGTACGATATACATGAATATATGCTTAATAGTTAAGCTATAAACTTGCAAACTAATAAACAAAACACCAAGATAAATCATGGGTATCATTCAGCACTCTAATTTATAAAGTTCGATCAGCTGAAATTGAAAAAAAAAAAAAAACCAAAAAATTATCAAAAAAAAGGGTCTACAATCAACACTAAATGATTACGAACAAAACCCAATTCAATATCGATCAAAAGGAACACAAAAACCCCACTTCAAATCCCCAAATTCCAGATTTGCGATCAAGCAAGTAATCAAAAACCCCAATAAGAACAAGCAATCGAAACCAAGAATCGATTCATTAAAACCAAAACGATTACGAAATTAAGAACATATAACTTAAGAAATAAGATGTAGAATCGAACTTACGCTGAGCAAATCATTCATCTCGATCAAATTAGCGAGCCAGAGAGTGAAGAAAATTTGGGGGTTTTTGCGATAGAAGTGGGAGAGGCTAAAGGAAACAGAGGTCAATCAGGATGGAATTGATTATATATACGTGGGTTTACTTTAATTCTCCAGGTGTTCATTGGTTGTGGGTTTGGCCGGCGAAAAGCAATCGCAAATTGATTAAATAAGCATAAATGTTGTTCCTGATTTCATACAAGAAATGGCGTTGGTTACTAAATGAGATATGATATTTGTTGCTATATGAATCGGCGACTATATCGGAAAAGATTTTGGACCCACTCGTAATCTGGGCCGGTAACAGTTGGGTGAGGCCACTTCTTTGTAGTATAGTAATGAAAACATAGAATCAGCTCAGATGAGCTTCTTTTTTTTTTTTTTTTTTTTTTTTTTTTTTTTTGAGATTCATGAGATTATTTTTTATACTTGAAATTAATGATAGTTAAATTGGCCTGGCTCCGGACCGTTAGAGGAACGGGACCAGTAAGGATCGGTTATAGAACTGAAATTTGGGACCGGTTATGGATTTGGGGTGTTTTGCGGGACCGGTTATGACCCGATTTTTAAAAAATGTAACTATTTTTTTTAAAATGTAGCCCCTTTTTTGGCCCTTTTTTTTGTATATTTTGCTTTCTAAACACTATATATAAGTGTCTTGGCTGAGGGATTTACATACCAAGTTCTCGATTCGCAAAAATGCAAAAATCCGTTCACAATTATCGGTTTCTCGCAATATTATGTAAGACAATGTAATTTTAATTATAATAAAAACGCATTTTTAAAGTGTATTTGAGTGACTCAATTACAAAATTTTACAATGTATTAAAAATATATATCATTAAAAAATATAAAAATAAAAAATTTAATGACTGGGACAGGGACCGGGACGGCGGCCTATAACCGGTTACAATAAAGCTTGACTGGGCTCAACTTTTTCGATCGGGACCGGGACCGGGTATGAGAAATCTTGAGACCAGCCCGGCCCAAGACCGGTTTTTGGGCATCACTACTTGAAACTTCACATTAAAACGTTGTGAATGTAACTTTCATTGTGTTTTTGCTATAAAAATTTTGAATTTTTTTATCTTCACAACATTTTGCTATGAATTTCAATTATAAAAAAGTGGTCTCACGGGTCTCACGTGAACCCCAACTCTACCAATGAATTGTAATTGATATGTAAAATCTTATACTATATATCAATTAGTAGTATTTTATGTTTTTTTTTTTTTTGTCGGTACATGTTGGTATTGATTTTGTACTAATTTTAAGTTATATATATATATATATATATATATATATATATATGAAAACTTATCATTTTATAAATTTTGAATGATATTTTGAGCTTCTAGCCTCCAGGTAACATGACGATTTAAGACTTTTTAATTTTAAAGGGTAAAATTTGCGGATATTTAAATGTTCAAAGAAAATACTTAAAGGTACAAATGTTTAATATTTAAAACTTTAAAGTACAAAAACTAATAGATGATTAAATAAGTCGATATCATGGTACTATTGTGGTATGTAATTTCAGATATTGTGTATTAATCTAGTTTGCATATTTGATACAGTACTACCAACTAACTGTAATTGATTGGTTTTATTTGTTACAAAATGTGAGAGTCTTTTGATGTGTGATTTAAAATTAAAAAAATTTAGGTTCTAAATATATATGTTTTAACTTTTAGATGATTAAAATGCTTTTATGTTTATATTTCTTTTAGTCAATTCGGAGATTTTCGATTTTAGTTTCTAAAAAACGTAAACCCTTTTAACACACACGAAGACCACAGGGAAGCAGATGTAATTTTGAGAACAAGCGAGAAGAAATGGAAGCAAATGTCATCCCAATTAAGATGCTACTTGGTAATTGTTGAATGATTTGGTGCAAAATGATTAAGTGGTCAAAATGATTAAGAAGCTTTCATGATATAGTATAAAATGAAATATAATTGTTTACAATGAATTAGGGAACTTAATGGTGAAGAGAGGCCCAAGATACAAAATCATTCAGAGAGTTTTAGAACCATTAAAAGACAGACTTTTTTTTGCCAAACAAGATTCACCGCTTAACATTTCAAATGTTGTTTCTTAATGGAATTATTAAGAGGTAAACAAACAACCCCTAACATATCTATTCACTAAGAGACGAAGCAAGCAAGCAAGAAAGAGATGAAGATGGAGATGTTGCAGATGGTGAAACAAGCAATAAAGAGACAACGTGATCAAGTATTAGGTCCAGGGTTAAAAAGGTAATTTAGTTTTCAAAGCTAATAAGTTGTTTTTTGATAAGTAAAAAAGAGTAACTTATCAAAAACTTCTTAGCACCGGCTTGACACCGGTATAATCCTTTTTTCTTTTTTCTTTTTTTTTCTTCATCCAAACACTGATAACTGTTTATTACCGATATCACACCGGAATAAGTCAATAAACAGTTTAAGTAAGCAATCCCAAACACCCCCTTAACGACTTCAAATATTTATTGTAGGTGACTTTAGTAAAACCAACAGTCTTTTTTTGTATAATTGGATTCACAAAATAAAAACTGAATTGATAACTAAACTATAACACGGGTTACAAGATATGAGTGTGAACTCTGATATATATTTTTGGTTTGGGCTTAATGAAAATAAATTTTGTCCTAAATAGTGTTGAGCCCAATCCTTAACCAAACTTTAGGCCTCGCCAATCTTAATCAATACTGGTTGTAACTATTGATGGCCAAAAACCGATCCCGGTCCTGAGCCGGGCCGGGCCTAATCGGTCCCAAACTCTCATAACCGGCCATAACCGGTCCCGATCGAAAATGGTAAGACCAGAAAGGTACTTCATAACCGGTTATGGGCCGCCGGTCTCAACCGGTCCCGGCATTAAAAAATAAGATTTTTTTTTAATTTTTTTAATGATATATATTTTTAATACATTATAAAATTTATAATTGGGTCACTCAAATACACTTTAAAAATACGTTTTAATATAATTAAAATTACATTGTCTTATTAAAATAAATTATAAAATTATTTAAAAATACATTTATTTACAAATACTAGAAAAATCAGTATCTGGCAAAATTAACTGGGACTAAGAATTATATACTTTTCTTTCACTAGTATGATGCATTAAATGTTTGTATGAGTGTATTAAGTAGTTTGCAGAATATGAACTGTTGTACGTGGTTATATATTTCTTTTATTTACTTTTAAAATATTTACTCGTATAATAGTTTTTTATATTATTAAAGGAAATTCAATTCATAACGAAATATTTCCTTTAATAAAAATGATATGAAAGTGTAATATGAACGTTATATGAGCGTTATTCCTTGTCAACAACGTCACATATACATGTGAAACCATAAAGAAGAAGGTAGATGCTAAGAGATACAGAAGATAATGAGATATACTTAGAAAAAACAATTGTTTATTACTAAAAGGACCCTTACCGGAAAAATTTGACAACTTCGTTGTTTTTCTGCACGAGGGCGAAATTGTAAATATGAGAATTACAGTATCTTGTTCTTGTATTAAAAGATATTAGAAGAGTACTCACGCAATGCAGCGAGACATATCTCGATTTTAATGTTTTATTTTATTATTTGTCTCTGTCGATGTTATAATACGATTTTAT